AGGTCCCTAGGAACTGTCACCTCGTTTCCTGCAACAGGTACATCCGGGATAATTTTAATACAATACCTAAAGCCGCCCAGTACCACTGATACAAAGTACCTGACTAGTCCCTATTTCAGCAGTGTGGATTCCACCCGCCGTGGCCCCGAGGGGCCACCTATGTGTGGCCAAGGAAGTCTGAGGTTCGAATCAGCTCCAACAGAGGAGAGCCACACAGTGACATCTACTTATTTATTAGAAAGAAGATGATCCAGCACCACACTGATGACAGGAGGGAGTCCCCAGAGCCGCCCCTTCTGTGTCTCACTCGGGGCCTTCGGCTGGCCGTGGGGAGTGTCCCCACACCACACTGACTTTTTCAGGCAGATATTCGGAGGTAGCTCGGTGCCAAGTTGGAGCAGAGTCTCAAAGTAAAGAGTCTCAGATCAGCTCAGACCAAGGACGTTCACACAGCCCATGCAAGGCTATCTGTAGGTAACATTTTTTTTTGCCCCGGGGCAAATAGCTTTTTCTGTGAGGAACCGCACGTTCATTCTGTGAACACCTGCATTTGGTTGATTTATTATTTTAACCCTTTTTCTGACACCGCCACTGCAGTGGATTTGCAGAATGATTTCATCATCACAAAGATGAACTCAGTGTCCACGTTTTGCCAGATTTTGATGAGGCTGGGAGAGCACAGGCTTGGCATGCACAAGGACAAGATTCAACCCCAGCACCCAAAAAGAAACAAACTTTATTTCCACTTAAATTTCCTTGTCCCCCCACACACACCCACATCATGTTATATGTTTTGCTTCAAATGTCAATGGATGATCCAAATAAAGAATGTGTAAGTTTTAAAATATATGACATAAGAGACATATTGCCACTGATCCTTCTCAAAATGCCCCCCTCAATCTCAACACGCTCATCCCATTGTGCTTGTCACTTTCTGAAGCAGTTCTGGAGTCCTCTTTCCTGAGTGTCTTTCCGAGGTGTGGTCAACAAAACAGTGACTGCTGCTAAGTGCCACCCAACAGAGAGGCAGGCTCATAAAACGCGACAGTGCGTCCTCATCCGCCTCTTTCACCAGATCTGGCACTGTGTAGCTTCTGGCCATTCCCCAAAGTCAAAATGACGGTGAAAGGGAAACATTTCGAATTGATTCAGGACATGAAGGCAGCAAACGACAGCACAACTAAAGACACAAAAGAGGCTAAATTACAAGTATTTCTTTAAATATGCAATTACCACAGCACATAGACAAACAAAAATTCAACAATCTTGACTGTTTAAGAAGAAAGACAGAGGACAGCAACACCCACTGTCCATCAGATTCCTCAGGACAGTGGTGGCGAACCTATGGCACGTGTGCCACAACGGGCTGTCTGTATCCCTGAAAGCTCTAAAAGGTTCGCCATCAACAGCTGTGGGAGCCATGGCAAGTCTGTGCTGAGCTTTAACAGAATACAACCTCTCTTATACTGCCAGACACAGGCACTACAGCTTATGATGAAATTGCCTTGAGTTTGCTAGATTCACCTAGCAGCTACATCGGTATCTTTTGTGTTATTAATAGCACATTTGCCACACTCCTTTAAATAAAAAGAATGTGGATGCAAAGTCAGATAAAACCCACACAAACTAAATCAATTTAAAAGCTGACGGCCTGCAACATGAAGAGGTGTCCATGAGAAAGAAGGCAGAGGAAGCAAAATCCACAACCCAACACTCCTTCAAACACTTTCTGAATCGCTTAACTAAAGGGAATGAAAACGCTCAACCTTGGCCAATGGTAGTCTTGAAGATTTTTTTTTTTTCTTTTTGCTTGCAGTACTTGTTTTTTATTTTGAGACACGATCTCACTAAATCGCTTGAGCTGGGCTCAAACTTGCAGCAAGCCTCCCACTTCAACCTCCCACGTGGGTGGGGTTACAGGTGTGCGCCCCCACACTGGCAGTGTTGAAATCTTAGGTAAGTTCTCTGTTACTTCCCTGGGACCCCACAGAGAGTTAAAGAATTCTGATACTTTTTAATTTATAGCTTTGCAGCAGCCCCACCACTAGCCCTGCAAATGCAGACGATTTGGCCCAAGCTGCAGGTTTCTGGGGTGACTCCAACCTCTCCACAGACACAGTGTTCTTTCCTTTCTTCACATGCACCCAAAAATAAACCACTTAGTTTCACAGAGAGTAGGACAGTCACATTCACCCCTACTACTTCAAGAAACAAAGTCTCAGTAATTTCTTACTTGGAGGGGAAAAAACAAAAAAGGCCTCTAGAAAGAGGTGATACGAAGAATCGAGGAAGCCAGGCGCAGTGCTACACATCTGTGATCCCAGCTCCTGGAGAGGCTGAGGCAGGAGGATTACAAATTGTACCATCCTCGCTGCCTCAATACGCTGAAGGATTTTAAAATAGTCCCTTTTCATGGTCATTTTGAGTTTGTGGAAGAACCAGAAGTTGCACAGTGCTACATCCAGGGAATAAAGTAGATGATGACAGGTTAAGGTTTTTATTCAACAGAATCTCCTGCAATGTGTGACACTGAGCACTGTCACGAAAGAGGATGAAATTGTCTGTCCATTTTTTAGGCTATTTTCTACACACCTTAGGGTTCCAGGGTACAAACTGAGATCGCACAATTCCATCAGTGGCAACAAACTCTGTCCCATCACCTTGATGTTGGCTCTTGATCGATGTGCTTTTTTGCATGAGGAGGACTGGATGAGAACTCAGCCTTGCTCTCAGAATCATGCCCAAGGACCCAAGCTTCATCTCCTGAGATGACATTTCTTAAAAATCCGTAAGCGGACGTGGCACAACTGTGCAACTTTGATGAAATGCATTGTTCCTGATCCATGATTTCCCATACTTTCTAAGGCATACCTTCCCTCGGTGTAGCTCACAAATGACCACAAGGAACAAATTGAAACTTGTCATGCATTGCTACAAAGGTTTGATGATCTGCTTCCAGTACTAAAGACCCCGCCTTTCTGTTGGACAGAACTCAGCAGCAGCATTCACCATATTTCTTATATTCTATTTTTCTTAGCCTTCTTTTAGAATACTTTCATATATTTCATTCCCCTCCAATATTAGAGTACTGTGAAGGGTATGAAAAATGCAGATTAGCTCTAAAGCCAGGGGGAAAAGGAGAAGGGGAGTCTTCCTTACTCTGAATCTCCATTAAAAACAAAAAAACAAAATGGTGGGTGTAGCTCAGTGGTTACAGCCCTTGCCTGGCAGGCACAAGGCAGTGGGTTGTACACCCTGCACCACAAAAATGCAAAAAAAAAAAAAAATCCCACTTATGCAACAAATAAGCTATAACCCAAGCCAGATGTTGAAATTGAAAAGCTTTTTAAATGTTGACTACCTTTTCCCTGTAATTCCCTTCTATGACTATGTTCTGCAGAAATAATCTGAAAAAAAGACAATAGACAACAAAGTTCACCCCAGCATTATCTGCGATGGTGAAAAACGTGAGCAACCTTAGGGTATTTGTCTAGCAGGTGAGAAAAGGTCAGTTATGGAGCATCTACTAACATGGCCTATGCAGGCACCTGTAAAAATTGTGCTCAGAAAAAGTTTATAGTAATACACAGGGGTTCTGACAGTGGCGTTCAGCTAGACACCACAGCACACTGAAGCAGCAAGACTGGATCTGCGTCCACACGTACACACACTTGGTTCAGAAGACATCCAGAAACTGCGCCCAGAAAAAAATCTAAAAGGAAATGCAGTAGAATATTACAGGGCAGTTATCTTTGATTTTGAATGCAAAGATTTTTTTTATTCAATTTCCAAATTTTCTGCAGTGTACATACTTTACTTTTGTAATAAGGAATCTTTATTTTTTAAAAAAAAGAAACTACAAACATCTCACAGTTCAGTCCCTTTTTGGAAGCAATGATGCAATGCGGGTCTGTTACCCCTGAGGCTTCTCCTCTTCCTCGTCCTCCTTTTTGGTGAAATGAGCTCTCCTCGGTTCAGTGGATGAACAGGTGCGTTCCGATCTCTGCAGATACTGCTTGCTTATTGTTGTTTATCTAAGTATGTGAACTCTCCTTCTAGGAAAGAACTAGAAAAATAAATGAACATTTTCAAAAGGTTCTTTCCTTTGCCTTTTCTGATAGCAGTTGAGAGTTGTGAGGATCATGGAGTTTATTTCCGAGGAGACCCGAGAAGCAGTTCATTTAAACACCGCAGTTGCAGGTGGTTTTCCGGAAGGGAGCTGTGGACAAAGGAACAAAGCTGCATGGAGCCAGCTCCGGGCACCTTAGCAACATAAATCTGCGCCTTTGTGGCTCTCACTGTGAGGAAAGCTCAGCTCGCGGAAGCACACGCTAGCTCTTCCAGCACTTCAGCCCACAGAGCTCCCCAAGCAGCTATGGCTTCGGTCACAGCTGTGGTCCCGAACAAGTGTGGGCCACCTGTGTGTTCAGGACAGGGACTGCTTTGAAAACAGAAAAAGTAAAGTGCTGAATGGCGTTGTGGAAAGACTAGGCAAACCACCACCACCATTATTCACTGAGAAAGTGACAAAGCCACACTAAAAGTGTGCTAGGAAAAGGTGCCTCGTGGGGTGTGGCAAAGCAGTGAAACAGCAGGCCACTCTCCCAGACACCTGAAACTCAGCGTCACACTCTCCTGTTCCCAAGTTAACTGGTGACAATCAACCCTCTTTCTTGACTTTTCCCCCCTAGTACTGAGGACTGAAACAGCCTTCACAGTGAGCTACGTCCCTGGCCCTTTTGTATTTCTTTTATTTTGAGACAGGGTCTGGCCAAGTGGCTAAGTAGTTCAGGCTGAGCTCAAATTCGCTACCTCAGCCTCCCAGAGTGCTGGGATTGCAGGCGTGCAGGGCCACATCTGGCTCTCTTTCTTGACATTTTTGCTGCCCCTTTTCCTTATTTTTTTCCCTAGGGAAAACGGCCATTTCTCACTCATTCCAACACCCCTAGGCAAATTTTAGGAAAAACAGAAATAGCTATGCTCACAATTTACTCTTTTCTGATGTATGTTCTTCTGGAACTCTCTGGATGCGATGTCACTCAGTACTGACTGTCCCTCTTAGGGCCACTCTGCATTGAACAAGACTCCTGTAGGCTCGTGTTTCCCAACCATGCGTGTAGGGCAAGATCCTTCCGAAGCACTGTGACGCCTTCTTCTAAGAGCAAGGAAATGCAAGCGCTGATTTGCGTGCTGGGTGTTGAACCCACATACTGGACATCAGTTCGTACTTGAAATCCGATGCTACATCTACTGCATTCAAGGAAGTGTGTTTGCAGAAGGGTTTCAAGCCAGCTTCTTTCGAGCTTTATGCTTAGGGCTCTGCCAGTTAACTTCAGTGATGGCTGCATGTGTTAATCTGGAGCCTTCCTTTTGAGGAGCACCTTGCAGAACAGGGGTTCGGCCCAGAGTGACCAGGAAGAAAAAGCAAAACCCGAAGAGCCCAGGTTTCCAACATCCCCTGTAAGGCCACGCCCTCATGACCTCACTTCCGCCCACCTAGGCCCCACTTCCGGAGAACCCACTTCCGGAGGTCTCCGCCTAGTGCCATAGGCCTGGGACCAAGCCTTCCACACATCAGTCTGTGGGAACATTTCAGACCCAAAGGACAGCACCTCCCGTGCCCACAGCCCGTCCTCCCTGCAGTTCCGAGGACGCATAGTGAGGACAGGTGGGTTTGTGTCTCGCTCCCAACTGCCTGGGTTACAGGAACCTTAAGGCGGCAGGTTTGTCAGGGTCTCGCCTGGGTGGTGGCATCACCCTCTTGTCCCGCGTTTTCTTTGTTCCCATCCACCACGGAGCATGAGCGCAGTCCACACGGGCCAGTGCACCTGGCTGTTCGGGAGCCGAGTCTTCGCGCTCCTGGCGGATTCGCCACTGTGAGGAGCGCAGAGGCCACCAAGTGGCTGAGAGTTCGGAGCTCCTGTCAGCCGGGTTAGCAGCTCCTCGTCAGAGGTGAACCAGCACAAGCAATCTGCTCCTTGCTTTCCCCACTTGCTTTTGTGTTACCTGTGTACACTTTAGGCTAAGATCCTTTTTTTATCTCCCCCAGCACTGGGAATTGAACCAAGGACATTCACCCTGAGCTGCACGCTCTGTTTTAAATTTTTTACACAGGGTCTTTCTAAGTTGCTAAACTCCCCAGGCTGGGTGGGCTCAAACTTATGATTCTCCTGCCTCAGCCTCCCAAAGTGCTGGGATTACAGGCAAGTGTCACCGCGCCCACCCGAGATGGTTGTATTTATAGCCACGTCCTTGCCAAGCCTGTGTGGCCACTGCTGCCCCTCTGACCTCCTCTTGCATCTACACCTTTCTTTCTCCTTGCCCACTGCATTTCCCGTCACACCTCTCCCAGCCCTGCCCTCTCCCGAGTATGCAGTGTCCCCTCCAACTGTTCCTCCTGCATAGCGACCCACAGGAGCTTGGGCTTCCTGGACCCTGGTGAATATGTCCCCGCCTCAGCTCCGCCCTGTCCTGAGCTGTCCACACAAAGCCCTCGCTCCGGCTGCTACCCTGGGGTCCCTGCTGCAGCCCATATCACCTCCTGCCCTGTGATGCTTTCTTCCTCTTCATGGCTTTTACTGCGACCTTTAATTAAATCCTCACTTGGCTCCTTCTCACTTCCTTTTTGGAATGGAGCCCCGTGTCCCCGCCCAGTGACCTCACTTCCTCCCACTAGGCCACACCCCCTAAAGGTTCTGTTACTCAGTGGTGGGTCCCGTGGACTTCTTCGCAGGTTGTTGGTGTCTCGACAAAGAATTGGACAGGACACACAGAAAAGGTAGCAAAGGTGCACGGGTATTAAAGGTGAAAAAAGGTACGCTTTGCAGAGTGAGAGTGGGTAAGTAAACAGGCTTGCAGCAGCCCTAAGGACTAGGGAAAGGAGTCTTTTGTGTCCAAAATTCCCAAGTTGGCTTCCCACTCAGGAAAATAAGGCATTGGGACATTTGTCCTATGGAGCCCTCGCTTGGTGTCATACCAGACATAAACAAAACTTTCCTGTGGAAGAGTATGGCTTCCTGCCAGATGTTAACAAAGGACTAGGAACAGTGTCTTTTGCTTGGCTGTGCCCACATGCAAAGGAAGGATGGAAAAGAGCATTATGATTGGTCCACAGTGCTGAGCTGTAAGCCTGACATCATTTTGGCTCCTATACTCTGCTCAAGACCTCTCTTTTTAGGAGCCATCTCGCCGTGGGATTTTATGACTTGTGACACATTTCAGCCAGTTAGTTGTCCCATCTGCCCCGGCTTTAATCTCCTACCTCAGTTCTGCCTCCCACAGTAGGCCCAAGGCTTGGGCCTTTGGGGGACTCTCCAGACTCACACTGCGGCACAGACCTCAGACACTGGGTGAGGGAAGGTCCGTCACATTCCCAGCGTCTGTGCCTGTCTGTGCCCTGAGCTGTGGCCATGCAGATGCACAAGCTTTCCCAGGAGGTAACAGGGGGACGCAGCCTGTCCCCCGGCAGCACGTCAGTGTTGTGCCTGGGTGTGGGGAAACAGTCCTCATATTTGAAAGGCATCTTGAGTCAAAAACTGTGTTTCAGTCAGAGGTCCTCGATGAAACCACCTTCTAATGCTCCTTCACTGCAGGCGCAGGCAGGGGAGTCTTTCATAAAGAAGCACAGGATAGCTAAGGAGCAACTCCTGTAGCTCCAGCATATTTTCAAGAGAAAAATACATTTCAGCCCTCATTCCCACATGTACTGCTGTACAGACCTAGTTAGTGGTCTGCATAGAGCGAAGAATGACTGCATTTTAATCCCCCAAAGTTTCCAATGAGCTATCTCAAAGTTGAAAATGTTTACTTCCTCAAAATAAGTTAGAATCATCCCTGCATATATTTTAGACTCTCTTTAGATAGTCAAGCAGATGGTTTGCCGAAGCTATCATGCCAAAAAATGTGTTTGGTTCAAAAGAAAAATTAATCTCCCAATTATGATGCTTCTCTTCTAATAAAAATCTAAATTTCTAAGGCTGGGCGTGGTGGCGCACGCCTGTAATCCCAGCACTCGGGGAGGCTGAGGCAGGAGGATCGCTGTGAGTTCGAGACCAGCCTGAGCTACATAGTGAGCTCCAGGTCAGTCTCAACTACATAGTGAAACGCTGTCTCAAAAAAACAAAAAAACAAAAAAAGAAAAATCTAAATTTCTACCTGTAAATTTTATTCAACTCTGTGCTTCCTGAACTGAGCTCAGAAATAATTCCTTAGCTATACGTTTGTCTTGTAGGACCTGACTCTAGAATCTTGAAGTAGAGTGTTGTTAAGTATTGACTCTTTTCCGTGTTTGTGCTACATGGGTTCATGTCTTTCCTCGTTACCCAAGTCTGCTATCCAAAAGAAGCCAGGTACAGTGGCACACACCTATAATCCCAGCAGTAGAGAGTCTGAGGCAGGAGAATCACTGTGAGTTCAAGGCCAGCTCAGGCTACATTGTAAGTTTAAGGCTGCCCTGAACTACATAGTGAGACCCTGTCTCAGCAAACCAAAAACAAGTAAAAAATACGAAGATGAAATATGCAGAGACACTAAATACTGGTACTAATAAATCCTGGAAGTGTTGGTTCTGCTTCTAATTACGTGTGTTCCAGCCGGCCTCCATCATATCACCTCAGTAACTAATACAGTGGACCCTTGAGTTACAACCAGCCTTACATACGAACAACAGGGGTTATAACCAGAATTTTAATTTTAACTTATGACTAAAGACTTGAGTTAGGACCCAAATGGCCACCGCTTGTGCTTCCAGATGATCTCAGATGCAGATTTAACCCTTAAAGGGTTCTGGAAGGTACATGACAGCATCCTCTCCTGTGCGGGTTGATTGAGAAATGACAGAAGGCTGTGTAGAGGAGTCTGAGCCTTCACTGACCAACTTGAGTTTCAACCAGCCCTCGAAAACCAATTGAGTTCATACGTAAAGGGTCCACTATAAATCTCAGATTAGAAATACTTCCTACCAGCAAGCTTTCTGTGACCCCGTGGGCCACTCTGTAAGATGTTAGAATTCAAAATGGTGTAGAAAACATCTGAAAGAAAATCTAGCCAGTGACTCCTAAAATGACCGTTTCTCATTCCATCACAAATTTTCATTTTTCCTTAACCTGAGACATAGAGTTGCTCCCTACCCTGTCCCCAGAAGCCTAGACTGAAGGCAAAGCCACCTTCAACCTCTGGAGTCCCTGCCTGCAGCACCCAGCTCTTACTCAGGACTCTGCTGCGCTTGCTCCTCCTCCTTGGTGGGCTGTGCAGAAACCACTGGGAGGTGACTCGGCTGTCACCATGGTCTCCTGCGTACGTTTTTGAAAATATCTGCCCAGGTGCTTATGGTTGTGCAAAGCTGTCTGTGTCATGACAGTAGTACTGTCCACACAGACATGCCACGGCCTGGGGGCTCCAGAGGAATGAGTACATCTTGGGTAGGGGACTGTCATCCTAGGGAAGGCTGCACACAGAGTCTCCCTGTGGCAACGGCCAGGCTGTGTGCTCATGGGAAAGTGCAAGCCATGAAGTCCCTGCCACTGATACTGCGAGAAGAGAATGCGTTTCTAAATTCTGCTGGGAGACCATCTCCCAGGATGGGAGTACTGGGCCACACGGTCATTACCGGGAGTCCAAACTGCTTTCCAGAAGGAGACACTCAGTTCCTCACCCACCTGCAGCGTGTGGCTCTGCTGTCCACCAGCTGTCTGGGACTGCGAATTGTGTAATCTTTGCTGGAAGGCAAGAAAGCTAAGCAGCACAGCACTATTGTTTTAATTGATATTTCTTTGGTAATGTCAGGGTGCACCTCAGAATGGTAGCCGTCGGCATCATTTCTTTTGTGAATGACCTTATTTCCTAGGGCATAGCTCTTTTTGTTGCTTTTATTTATTTATTTATTTGTTTAATGGTTTTGAAACCAAAGTACTTCTTACATAAGCAGGCTGTTTATATGGCAGTGATTTTTTTTCCATCCTGAGAAAGCTGTCATTAAAACTGGCAATTTATAAAAAAGAAAATGAATACTGCTAACCTTTCAAATACGCTTCCACCTCCTAGAGGGAAACAGGTGCTGCAGCAGCTGTGTCCGCTCTGAACATGCCCCACCCCAGGCAGCATCTTCATCTGACCAGCGCCACCACCATCTCATGCCTAAGCAATTCTGGTGACGTCTGTCCTCTGTTTTCTTGCTCTTCCTTTGCCGCCAGGCCCATTGAGCTGTCCTCTTCACGGCTCTAGAATTCTTCCGCCTCCCTGCCCTTCTAGCACTGTCTCCGCGGCCCCAGAGTCACTGTGATGAAACTCAGAGCGTGTGAGTCCACGTCACCAGCTGTCGTGGGCTCCTCTCACTTGTCCAGACAGCGCCAAACTTCCTTCTCCAGGACCAGCGACTCCAGGTGACCCCGAGCACAGGCTCTGACCTTTCCACAGATTCTGGGTTTCCATCCTCCCTTGAGTCCTCCATTGCCCTGAATGTTTGTGTGAGCATCCAGCACCTTCCCAAGCTCTGGGTTCATTCTGGCTTCTCATAATCAAGGACACTCGGGGGGACTGGCTCACCTTTGTCCTAGCCGTAGAGCTTCCTGCTTGTTTCTAAGGCCAGGTTCCCCGTATTGTACTTCTTCCTAGGGCTTGGATTCCTGTCCTCTGGGATCTTGCCGTGTCTTGCTTCTGCCCAGATGAGCTGCCTGGTATCCGAGCCCAGTGAAGTGGGACCTGCCTCCTCCCGCACCTATTCTGCCCCTGGGCCTGAGAGGCAGGGCCGAGAGGTTGGCCCATCCGGCTCCTCCTCACTCCCTGTCCCTGCCCTTCAGTCCTGCAGGACTGAGCTCTGGCGGCTTATGGAGCCTAATGTATACCTCTCCTGCTACGAGACATCGGTAGCCAAGTCGTGGGCAGTTGCACGCAGGACAAGGTGGGTAGGTCCAATGGCCTGAATCGTCCACCGATACCCAGTGCAGGGAAGCATCCGGGAGAAGCCAGGATCCAGACACCACCCCAGAAGACATCCATACCACCAGGCTCTACCCTAGGTCCCAGGGTAGAGCTCCTGGGAGCTCTTCTGTTGCTGTCCCACAGGAATGGCAATGTATTCCTCTTGGTTTTTATCTCTAGGGTAACCTTTCCCAACCTTATCCATCCCAGGAAGTACACACCATAAAAAGATCATATTTGTTATCCTTTCTGTGTCCACCTGCCCGATCCTGTGTGACTCCCTGAGTTTATCCTAACAAAACATCATCCATTTGCTCTGGGCCTATAATGTGTCCACACAGTTCCCAATGGCATCTTATCTCCCCTTCATCACCAAAGTCTAAACTTTCTCTTGGACACAGCTCCTAGAGCTTCTCTCACCCACTTCTCCTGCACTCCAGGCCCACACAGCTTGCTGGGACATTTCCCAGATTCCTCACCTGAGACCCCAAGTTCTCCGTGACTCCTCACCTCAGTGCCTGGCACTGAAGTCCCCCATAGCGTGATGCGAATCCTCTACCTGGCCTGCTCTCTTTAATTCTGCAGCACCATCATTCCCTAGAGGCCATCATAAGAATGCCCCCAGTTTTCATTAGAAACCAGAGTCTAGCGATTTTGTGGGGAGGGACGTGACACGAGACCCCAACACAGGGACGTGCTTTGCTGCTTCACCGTTAACCAGAACTACACACAGACACAGCAGAATAAAGAGTAAGCAGAGTGCTGTTGCCCTAAATGAACACGGTGTAGCTACTCCTTCCAACTGACAGGCAGTCTTGATGCTCTGATGAGATCAGACAAATACTGCACTGGAAAACCAGCATCAGCCAGGCATAGTGATACACATCTGTATTCCCAGAGTTCTGGGAGGCTGAGGCAGGAGGATGGCAAATTCAAGGCCATCCTGGGCAACTTAGTGACTTAGCAAGATGCTGTTTCAAAAGAAAATTTAAAAAGAGCTGGGGATGTAGCTCCTTGCAAAGGTGCTGGGCTCAATCCCCAGTACCAAATAAAATAAACCGAAGTCACCATCAGCCTGTGTCAGAACCCCGTGCAGCAGTGACTGTGGTAGACACTGCTCATGCCTCTGAGATACAAAGACTAAAAGCTCTCCTAGCAACTGCCTTGCCCCAAACATTCCCTTCATCCTCTTCAATAAACAGCTTTCCAGGGGAGCAGAATACTTCTATTTCACGTGTATTTGGAATACCTTGACTTCACCTGTGAAATCCCACAGGCTGTGTGGCCCTGAGTGCAATTAATATAGCAAGTGGGAGGAGCCTGTTACCCTGGAGAGTCTGAATTTCCCTTTTCTCCTATGCATTAATCGTCAGTGGGAAGCTGTGCCACTGGTCTGACTGGCAGGCATCTATACTAGTGGTGGCGAACCTATGGCACGTGTGCCACAGCCAGCTGTCTGTTACCGTGGAAAGCTCTAAAAGGTTTGCCATCACTGATATATGCCATGGTTGCCTTCACATCTGTTTGCTAGCAAGTCTCGGCCCAGGCACAGCCTAATTCAGTATTTTCCATTTTTCAACATTCAGATGAGTATATGTGGGGAAGAGGAAAGCAACTATTGGGAGACATGGTTTATCTTGACTTTATTCCTTGACATTAGCAGCACAAAGAACAGGATGGCTTTGGTGCTAGGAAACCCAGGAGACCTGAAGCAAGGAGCTCAAGGGTTTTAATAGTGACCCAGGCTGCCAGGTCACCATGACCAGGCTTTCATTGCTGTGAGCCTGTCCTTTAATGCTCCAAGTCCAGAATCAGTGGCCAAGGCCAGCCTCGTGTTGTCCCCAGACCTACCTCACTCACCAGGTCTGCAACACTGCGCAAGTTGTTGAATTTCCAGCAACACTGCTTCTCCACTTCCTAATGGAGCAGAAGGCAGTAAAGGAGATTGGTTGATGATAGTAATTCAGAAGTAATACCCACCTCCCAATGAGCACGTGCGAATTCTGGGACGGGACAGAGCTTAGAAAAGTGCCAAATAGCTGGCACAGCTGTCATCGCAGACCCCTGGCTGGCCCTGTGCACGTTCAGCCCACACTTAGGCAAACAGCTGGACTCACTGAGCCCAATCCTGCCAGTGTGGATAAATGGGACAGGTATCCAGCAACCTTAAAGAACTAGTGCCACCCTGTTCCGTCATGAGGTAGGAGAGAGGAGAGGCTGCGGCATGTACTCCAATGCCTGGTAAAGAATAAACTCCTAATTAATATGACAAAATTGCATTGGAACTCTGGAGACCACAAGAACTTTATAATTGGCTCTTATAATGTGTTTTGGATGCACATACACAGCTCTTAATGGTTTGTAGGAGGGGGAACATCCATTTTGTTTTGTACTAGTGATAAACACACTCCAAAAAATACCCATAATGGAAATGATTGCTTCTCTCCTCTCTTAAGAGGCACTTAACCTTTGATCTCTAAGCTAAATTACATTACCAGAGGCCGCTCAAATGCCACCAGGAATGTGTTTCCTTTGGTATTGTCTGATGATACGCCAAAGTCATTAGTAAACTTTTCAAAGTTCCCCTAAACTTGGTTTCTCTTAGAGATTAAGATGAAATGACAAAAACAATAACAAGCTAATACCGTGTCAAATATGTTGTTTCCAATTTGCTCCTTCCTTATGTAAAATATTAAGTGAACCAATTCAAAATATTGGTTTATGGTGGAATTATAAAGGACTTTTTTTTCCTTTGAGGGCAGTATTTGTCTTCACCTTGCTACGATATAAATGCAAATACAGGCCAGATAAAACAAAAAGCCAGACGTCATATGCATATTAAGTTAACCTCACAGAGGAATTTATGCTCATCTGGCTCACGTTTTTTCAGATTAGCCTATATAGGGCCAGGGATTTAGCTCAGTGGTACCACGCTGGCTTCACAAGTGCAAGGTCCTGGGTTTGATCCCCGGTACCAAAAACAAACAAACAGCCTGAAAACAATCAGGAGTCCCCTGTGTCAGAAACTAGTTTTTGAGGTCATGTTTCATTATGTACTTCAGGCTGGCCGAGAACTCACTAGGGAGCCTAGGCAGTGATCCTCCTGCTTGAGCCACACCCAGGCAGGAATGGTCTCCGTGTAGGTGAGTGTTAGTCCATTTCCTGCTGCTACCGCACAAGCCACAAGCTGGTAGCTTATAAATCACGGAAGACGCTTGGCTCCCATTCTGGAGGCTGGAGGTCTGCAATCAAGGATCACTTCTAGTGAGGATCTCCTTGCCACACTACCATGGCAGAAGAATCACATGTCGAGAAAGTGCATGAGACCGAAGTCATCCCTCATAAGGTGCCACAGCGAGATGAGACCCTGCAGTGGGGCTGGTGGCCCTCACCTGGCAGGAGCGCCCTGTACTCAGAACCTCTGCGCCCCTCCCAGACTTTGCTGCCCAGCACAGCTGCTCTGGGGACTCTCTGAACCCCACGAGTCCAGACTCTCACATGCCTCAGATCTGCGCGCAGCTTGTCTGGGGTGCTGTCCCGATACCGGGCTATGATCCAACATCGGGTCTGCCGCTTCCTCCCAGAACAAGGCAGTCACCCTGAGCACTGGAGTCATTACGTCTTGGCCTCAGCAAGTGGTTGTACAAGATGTAGAGCCCAGTTCTGGTGGTGGAAAACCTCAGGGATATACGAGAACCTAAAAAGAACAGACATTGTAAGGAAATGCCCTTGAAAGATATCTTAGAAGAAGAAACGGAAAACACGAACGTCCAACACTTTCTTTATTCCTTCCCCAAACCCCCTGTCCTCTGAATGTGCCCACACTCCCTGTGTCTCCTTGGTGCGTGCTGACCCCTTCCTTGAACCAGCGGCCATCCCAACCCCTCGAAGGCCATGGTGCTGCAGAACCAACCAAAGGCCCCACATCACCTTGGAATCCACAGGGGATTTTTTTGTCCAGGAGCAAAACCAAAGCCAAAGTACATCTGTCTTCCCTTGATGCCCTTCAGTCAGACCCTGGTCCAGGCCTCGGAGGCCCACTAATAACCCTACAGTTTAGAAACTCTCAGCCACGCTCAGGAATTGCACCCCAAAAATGAAACATGGTTTCATTTAATGGAGGGCGGGGAAGGGAAGGCCTCTCAGCATTTCTCAAACTATATTCCAAGATGTCATGAAGGAAAAAAAGTTAAAAACAAATTAAAAATATGTCTCACCCTAGTGCTCATCCCTGTATTGAAGATGCTGCATTACTTCACAATAAAGAGAGCTCTTTAATTCTTCAGGTATTTTCCAAATTGCTTTAACCACAGGGAAAACAACTTCATTTTCCCCCCTCTCTCAACGCATACTTTTAAACTCTCTGATCTGGCGTTCCTGCTGGGAAATGCTTAAAGAATCACCAGGCCACCTCGCCCTGGGTGCCTGTGTGGGCTGCATATATCAGTTTTCCGTGATAGTGGTGTTTAGAGGAGGCAAAAGATCAGTCCGCTAAAAAAGGACACATGATACGTGCTGTCCTGTCTATACAAGGACAGAGATTATTTTTCAGACACACTCAGCACCACCCAAGTGAGGGCGGCCTGACCGCGGTGTGCTGTCCAGAAGTCTCCAGTTACATTTCGGCGACCCACTAACGGTCAGGAGGAGGTTAGGGCTGATGGGCCAACAACTTTGTGGATCCAGCTGATGAAAAGGGCTGTTGTTTGAGGGCTCCAATTGCAGGCTGAGCTTAGGGAGTGATTTGGATTTAACTTGAGCAGAGAGATTGATGAAGTGAAATTCTCCAGCAGCCACAGATCTTGCTTTGCCAATAACGCGATAGTAAATAGTCCCGGGAATCTTCCTCAAAGATTCTTTTTTCAGTTTGGCAAACATTTGTCCGGCGCTGTCATCTCCTAAGACATCGTGTCCTTCATTATTTTTGATCATTTGAGCCAGCACCTGCCAGGTCTGCTCACATGGGCACCGTGTGTAACCGGCACACAGTTAGGGAAGAGCCAGGCACAGCGAGGCGACCTCCCAGGGTGTCGCTTGTGCGTGCCCACACGTCTGTCAGCGGTGTGGGACCAGTTCGGAGAAACCCAGATGCTGTGGAGAAAACCCTGCTAAGCGTGGTGCTTCCGTGTGAATGGAGAACCCAGGTCTGTGAGAAAGGGTGTGACTGGCTTGCCGTGGGGCTGCGACACATTTTCATGGTGTGGTCACCACAGGCGACACAGGTCTGTCGTCTCAGAGCAGTCGGAGGGCAGGAGTCAGACACAGGCCTCGGGGCTCCAGTCGGTGTCATCAGAGCTGGGTCCCTTCTGCAGGCTCAGGAAGGGTCCACCTCACGTGGCCACCCGCACCTCAGAGCTGCCATGGACCCTGAGCCTCCCCCACGTCGCTGCCTCCAGCTCCGCCGCCTCCTGTCACTTCCCAGCACCGCCGCTCATCTCACAGTCACGCCTGAGTTGTAGGGGAGGATCCTGCCTCCCGCTCTTGGGGTAGGAGGCCCCTGCTTTATAAAATGGAAAAGTCAACTTACAGGCCTGGTTTGGTGGCGCACGCCCGTGATCCTGGTGCTCAGGAGGCTGAGGTGAGAGGATGGCGGCTCGTTCGCGGGCAGCCTGGGCCCCAGAGTGAGTTCAAGAAAAACACAAAGCAACAACAGCATCAGCTTAGAACCTGACCCCTAAGTTCTCTGATCTGAGCTGGATCTCTTCTCTCCCCGAGACAGTCTCTGGTTCAGTGGTGAAGGTTTGCAGG